TCTTCAAATGATGAGTGGAGCAAGAGGCCACTTTTAAGGTTTTTTTCTCCCATATAGGGCACTTAGGGTATGTCTACATGTCTTTGAGAGAGGAATGCAAATGCAGACAAACGAAATTGCAATTTCCCATGCTTCATTTGCATAATGGCAGCCGGCCGCTTTTCCGAAATAGCGTATTGCAAGAAAAAAGGGGTTATTTTGAAAAGAAACCCTTCCTTCGAAATAACCTTTACTCCTTTAAGTAAGTAAGTAAGGGTTATTTTGAAGGAAGGGTTTCTTATTGAAATAATCCCTTTTTTCTCGAAATACGCTATTTCGGAAAAGCAGCTGGCTACCATTATGCAAATGAAGCACAGGAAATTCAAATCCATGCTTCATTTGCAATTTCGTTTGTCTGCATTTGCATTCCTCTCTCGAAGGAAGAATGCAATGTAGACATACCCTCAGAGCATTTACAGAGAGAATAATGCTCTACAAGGTGGCTACTCAACACACAGCCCATGGGTTGCATGTGGACTGTTTGTTTGCAGCCCACTGTGTGGTTTGGGTTTACATGGGGCTCAACACACCAGGCTTGCAAGTGGGAGCCAAAACAAAAAAGTTATCAATATAATGATCTTCTGTTGGTATGAGCTTTAGTAGTTAAATTCCTGGACTGTCATTGCTCATTAAATGTGCTGTCATATGGGTGGAAATATTGCATTGTATTAATATCAACACTACCGATTTAACTGGGGCCTGTGTGTTGTGTAGTCTTGCCTTACTCTTTGGGTTCATGCCTGTGAATTGTGAAAGAAGCTATTTGCATATATATTTGCATGTCTATGCAACCACACTTAAGTTGCAGCCCTCAGCATGTGCTGCGAATAACATCGTGGCCCCCAGGGCTTTCAAAGGGAGTAGCCCTGCTCTACTGCTTTAGCCAATAGCTAGCCGACCTTTAGTTCATGCAGTAGAGGCTTATGCACTAAGTTCCAAAGGCCTCAGGTTTAATTCCCCGTCAGCATCACACAGGCACCATCCTCCTTTGCCTACCCCAGACCGCCCCCCTTCCCGAACCGGGGGGCCCCACAGAAGCTACTACCCCAAGCTCTGAAGTTTGCCTAGCCTGCAGTCTGGGGCTGTGGCGGGCCGCGGGGCACCCCCGCACTGTCTCCCCTTGCCCCCCGAAGACGCAACCAGCTGCCGAGGAGGCAAAAAACAAGCCCTTCCCGCCGCGAGCGCGGGGCCGGACCTGGCCAGCGCCCCCGCTGCGCGCTTGGCATCCGGCTCGTGGGCCCCTCACCCCGCATGCGCGCACATTCCACACAGCCATATTGGAAATACCCTCAGAGTCAGGGCCCATGCGCATCGGGAGGGGGGGAGGAACGGAGAGGGGAGGACTGCGCATGTGCGTATCGATGGTGCCTGATTGTGCTAGGGGCCGCCGAGGCTATCCCAGAGGGAAGGCTTCCCGCGCAGGAGTCTGGCCCACGTGATTCAAAGGAGCGGGTGGCCCTGTTTGAAACCGCGGCACAGAGAAACAGGCGCGCGCCGGGTGCTGGGAGGGAGCGCGCGGCGCGCGGGCGGAGTAGGTGAGTGACCCGTGTAAGAAAGCTCGCGCTAGGGGACGGAAGTAGAACAGCCTTAGGGGCCCTTGCGGGGGGAGGAGCGCGAACAGCCAGCCA